CATGTACTTATCTGTGGTGACAATGGGATATTCACGTGATCTACTTGATGTATGTTTTGGTTATCAACTTGTGGGTTCAGTGACCTTGTGAACTTATGCATAGGGGTTGGCACACGTTTTTGTCTTGACTCTCTGGTAGAAACTTTGGGGAACTCTTTGAAGTTCTTTGTGTTGGTTGAATAGATGAATCTGAGATTGTGTGATGCATATCGTATAATCATAATCATACCCACGGATACTTGAGGTGACATTGGAGTATCTAGGTGACATTAGGGTTTTGGTTGATTTGTGTCTTAAGGTGTTATTCTAGTATGAACTCTAGGATAGATCAAACGGAAAGAATAGCTTCGTGTTATTTTACTATGGACTCTTGAATAGATCGATCAGAAAGGATAACTTTGAGGTGGTTTTGTACCCTACAATAATCTCTTCGTTTGTTCTTCGCTATTAGTGACTTTGGAGTGACTCTTTGTTGTATGTTGAGGGATGGTTATATGATCCAATTATGTTATTATTGTTGAGAGAACTTGCACTAGTGAAAGTATGAACCATAGGCCTTGTTTCCTACCATTGCAATACCCTTTACGCTCACTTTTATCATTAGTTACCTTGCTGTTTTTATATTTTCAGATTACAAATACTCATATCTACCATCCATATTGCACCTGTATCACTATCTCTTCACCGAACTAGTGCACCTATACAATTTACCATTATATTGGGTGTGTTGGGGACACAAGAGACTCTTTGTTATTTGGTTGCAGGGTTGTTTGAGAGAGACCATCTTCATCCTACGCCTCCCACGGATTGATAAACCTTAGGTCATCCACTTGAGGGAAATTTGCTACTGTTCTACGAACCTCTGCACTTGGAGGCCCAACAACGTCTACAAGGAGAAGGTTGCGTAGTAGACATCAGTTATCATAACGACAAGTTACAGGTTCATCGAAAAGTTTAACAAGGGAGATTTGCTCCTTTGATTATGGAGAGATATTCTTAGTGCCCTCTCGGTGTGACGACATCCATCATCGTCAAGCCAGACATAGGTGACTACATCACGGGGATGCTGGAACACAACAACGAGAAAGAAGAACAAAACCGGTAACGAGGATAACGGTATAATGAGCATGTGATGACTCAGGAGGATAATGATGCATCCCTGCTTTTGTGAAGTATCACGAAGAAAAGGGAACATCACATGATAACCAAAGGTTCACTCGAATTTCATTTCTGCGCTCATAGGGATAGATATGGACGTCCACGATTCCGCTATCGGTCACTGAACGAAGGGTCACTACAAGAAATATGTCAACTTGTGACCTTCTCTTAGTGACCCCAGCTGAATTAGTCGTAAATCCACGACTATTTCGCTTGGAAGGGCTCAAACCCTGAAATTGCCTTACAGCAAATGGTCATAAAGCAGACAAGAGTGGTTCACGACCTTATTTCTACCTGATTACGACCAATGTAAATGGTCATGATGTTGTAAGCATGGATGCATTGGTACTTAATGTGTCGCTCAAGGTGGGCTTGGGCCTCGGTGGAACGAGGCCACCTCCTTTAAAAAAAATCTATGTGCCATGTAGGCCTTGGCCCATCCAGGAAGAAATGTGGAATGCCCTCATATTACTAAAAAATATATATTCGGCCCTACGAAAATGGGAAAATAACAATATCAACAATGATAATCATGTATTTAAATTTTTCTAAAAATGTTAATCATGTATTTAAATTTTGCTAACCAATATCAACAATGTTTTGTATAAATACAAAAATGTACAATGTGTAAAAAAATAGATATAAAAACGTATGTATGAAATTATGCTTTTTTGTTGGGAATATATGAAAATATGTTAATCATGTGTGTGAAAAAAGTTAAACATATATAAACAATATGTACAATGTGTCTTAAAAAATGTAGACATGTATTCAAAATATTAGACATCAAAATATTTATTAAAAATGTTAATGATGTAACTAAAAACCATTTGATATCTATAAAAAATGTGTCTACTGTTCACAAATTTATTCAAAAAATGTGGTATAATATTCTAGAAAAATGGAGAAGTTTTCTTTACAACAAATATACATTAGGTTCTTCACAAAAAAACTCATTTTGGAAACTCGAAAAATGGAAAATGAATATGCCAGAATTTGTCTTTTTCATGAGAGGTGAATCAAAAAAAAAATACACCCAACTATTTGGTCAATTGTACATTAAATATTGCCTAGTATTTTAGAAATTTGATTTGGTCCAATTTTGCAACAAATATGGTAGGTTCTTCACAAAAAACCTCATTTTGAGCACTTAAAAATGCAAAATTGATTTTTTGTCCAAAGAAAATAAAAACTCCTTAGGAAACATTGTTCTTCATTGCAAGATGCACCCTTATGCACTATATGAGATATGCCATGAATGTGGCCATAAGATTGATCATTTGGCTTGAAAGTCATTGATCTCCACACGTGGTAGCTCATTTCTGATAACACTTTTTTAAAATAATTGCCATATTATAAGTTTATTAATTTTCTTGGGACTTGGCCACATATAATGACACAATGCGAAGGTTTCTCAATTTTTTGAATTTTTTGAATTTTTCATGCCCGTTTCAAAATGCGGCCAAAACGGTGGGCATGACCGTTCCTAGCTAGTGGTTGAATCTTGGAAAACTTTTGGTGTTTCTTTGATTAAATAGATACTTTTGTACGTAAAAATGATTTTTGGTAAAAATAAATAGCAAACTATAAGGCAGCTGCAGTTCAAATTTGACCCGCTTCCTACGGAATCGGCGGAAATTTGTCTTTTTCACGTGAGGTGGACAAAAGCTTTTGACACCCAACCATTTGGTAAATTGTGCATTAAATATGGCCTAGTAATTTATAAAATTGACTTAATCCAATTTTGCAACAATTATTTGGTAGGTTCTTCAAAAAAAACTCATTTTGGGTGCTCGAAAAATGGAAAATGATTTTTTCGTCCAAAGAAAATGAAAACTTCCTTAGGCAACATTGTTTGCCATCCAATATGCACCCTTGTGCACAATATGAGATCATTTGAACAAACTATGCCATGAATATGGCCATAAGATTGATCATTTGGCTTGAAAGCCATTGATCTCCACACATGATAACTCGTTTCTGAGAACACTTTTTTAATATAATTGCTGTATTACATGTTTATTATTTTTCCTGGGAACTTGGCCACATATAATGACACAATGCAAAGATTTCCCATTTTTTTGATTTTTTTGAATTTTTCATGCCCGTTTCAAAATGCGGTCAAAACGATAGGCATGACCGTTCCTAGCTAGTGGTTGAATCTTGGAAAACTTTTGGTGTTTTTTTGATTAAATAGATACTTTTGTACCTTAAAATGATTTTTGGGAAAAATAAATAGCAAACTATGAGGCAGCTGAGTTTAAGTTTGACCCGCTTCCTACTGAATCGGCAGAAATTTGCCTTTTTCACGAGAGGTGGATAAAAGCTTTTGACACCCAACCATTTGGTGAACTGGGAATTAAAAATGGCGTAGTATTTTATAAAATTGATTTGGTCCAATTTTGGAACAATTATTTGATAGGTTCTTCACAAAAAAAACTCATTTTGGATGCTCGAAAAATGGAAAATGATTTTTTTGTCCAAAGAAAATGAAACTTCCTTAGGCAACATTGTTTGCCATTCCAGTATGCACCCTTGTGCACAATATGAGATCATTTGAACAAACTATGCCATTAATGTGGCCATAAGATTGATCATTTGGCTTGAAAGCCATTGATCTCCACACGCGATAGCTCGTTTCTGCGAACACTTCTTTAAAAAATTACCGTATTACAAGTTTATTATTTTTCTTGGGAACTTGGCCACATATAATGACACAATGCGATGGTTTCCCTATTTTTGATTTTTTTTGATTTTTTCATGGTCGTTTCTAAATGCGATCAAACCGGCGGGCATGACCGTTCCTAGCTAGTGATTGAATCTTGGAAAACTTTTGATGTTTCTCTGATTAAATAGATACTTTTGTACCAAAAAATGATTTTTGGGAAAAATAAATAGCAAACTATGAGGCAGCTGCAGTTCGAATTTGACCCGCTTCGTGCTGAATCGGCGGAAATTTATCTTTTTCACGAGAGGTGGATCCAAAACATTTTACCCCAACAATTTAGTCAATTGTACATTAAATATGGCCTAATTTTTTATAAAAATGATTTGATCCAATTTTGCAACAAATATTTGGTAGGTCCTTCAAGAAAAACTCATTTTATGCACACGAAAAATGAAAAATTGGGTTTTCATGAAAATAAAATGAAAAATCCCTTTGACAACATTGTTTGTAATTACAAGATGAAAACTTGTGCGAAATGTGAAATCATTTGAACAAACTATGAGGCAGCTGTAGTTAAAATTTGACCCGCTTCCTAGTGAATCGACAAAAATCCCACCTAGTATGAAACTACCTCTAGCTATTCGAGGCAACCGTACTTAAACATTGTCATAAAAAGAGAAGGGAGCTTACCGCCGGGCATCATGGTGCTGCGTTGGAGCTCCCCGACATTGCAATGGAGCTTCGCCAGGCACTATGGTATTGCGTTGGAGCTCTTGGCGCGCTGTTGAGAGCTGCAATAGAGCTTCATGGGGATGTCATCTATGCTGCGTTGAAGTATTTTCACACTCGGTGCTGTCGTGACATATTGACGTGATCGAATGACCACGAATGCGTAGATCAGGCGGCTAGCTAGGCGGATGATTTCTAGACAAAATCATCTGACTGACTCGTAGCACCCGCCTATTGTTAATTGATTACGACCAATTTAGATGGTCATAACATCATCAAAACCTGTACTTTGTTCTGATTGGTCTATGAGCATGTCACACGGATCAAGCATCACGAACCGTCGGATACTACCAGATCCAACGGCCCACACCCCCTCACCCTCTCACCCACCCACACCCACCCAGAAGCAGCTCCCCTCACGTACACCACATGCCCATCTCCGGCCATGGCGACCGCGGATCTCCGACCCCCTTTTCTTGGTTGGGTGGGTGGGTGGGCATGAATTCCTCCCTTGTCTTCTCTTTCTCCCTCTGATTCCTCCTTGGTTTGTTTTATGTCCGATCTATAGAGGCTGCCGCTACTGCTGACGGTGGTGGAGGCGGTGGTCACCGACGCCGTGCTGTCGCTGCCCAACGCCCGGCAGCGGGCGACGAACTCCTGGGCCGCCGTCCGCGACACCTTCTTCTCCACCAAGGTCAGCCCTGCCCTGCCCAGATCAAATAAAACCTAATCCCTGATGCCCTCTCGTGATCTGGTTTTGATCCCCTCGATGCGGTGTGTGCGTGCAGGAAGTGTTGGAGGGCCACCGCGTCGTCTTCACCGTCGGCACCTCCATTGTCTCTGCCCTCATGGCGTGGGCCAGTATGCCCCCTGCTCCATCCCCTGCTCTACTTCCCCCCTCACTTTGTATGCCGTCGTCGGGTTCGGAGTGTGTCGCTGACCCGTCCGATTTACTGCCTTTTTGTTTTCAACAATGGCCGCTGTATCTAAAGGGATATGGACAAGGAGTGATGCATCTGTGCTACTGCTTGCTGCTGAACCCTAATTAGTTTGTTTGGCTTATGTATAAGACCATAGGGCACACCTCAATTGAACACTAGAGCTGTTTTGTTTCAGAATGCCCCATGGGTGTTGATCACTGAATGCAAGTGCACCAAGTTAATACAATCTAATTGATTAATTTATCTCCCAAGTCGCTGCACACTAATACAATTTAAATTTTTGTGTGCTCTTCAGTAGCTTGGCCCGCCCAATTTTTTCCTTGTAGCTCCGCCACTGCTTGTAATGACACCGCAACTGTAGTATCATGGGATGAAACATGTGTTGTTGGTCTATGAATTGTTAGCATGGATTAGAACTACTGATGTGAGCCCTTATATCCATATTCACGTCTAATCATCCTTTTCTCCTCCAGCCATCTTCTCAAGTGGAAGATGATCCTGCTGCCATCAAGTCTCTGTTTCTTGTCAGTTGTTAGCTTGAATTAATACATGTACTTTTGGTTATGCAAAGGTAGGTTCTGCTGTTAGATCTTGTAGTTAGTTGTGGATGGAGTTTCTGCTTGTTTGAAATCCCAAGGACTGCCTGGTAGTAGTGTATAATAAGTAAGCTTTTAAAAGTATGGTTGATCGACTGGACCATATTCCATGTCTACTTTTGGTACCGTTTCACCCCTGATTTTAACATTGGCCAGACCACTGAAATGCGAATATATGTTTGCTCTGTTTCGTGCTGGCAACTCCACAGCAGCTACGAAGCAACGGACGACGACTACATGTAATGTAAAGAAGATAGGATTTTGTACTGTAAAAAATACAACGTCTGCCTAGTTAAAAACGTGTTCACCAAAATCCCACAGATAATCTCGACACTTGTGGCAGAGAAGCATATAGTAGTACATGTTTTCTAGAGTTGTCTGTAACTGAACCTGTCAGATAAATAGATCATATTCAGCGTTTCTTGTGTGTGTTTTCCACACACACACACACACACACACACACACACGGTCCTTCCTTTTAAATCTCCTCTGCTGCTTACTGACATAGTACTACACATATACAGTAGTTTAGTAGTAGTGTGTAGGGACTCTAGAGAAAAGTTTACGTACTTAAACATTATGCTTAAAAATAAAAAGTTGTAGTTCCCTTGTAGTAGTATGTTTATGAATGGCTGCATGAAATGATTGTCCAGTACTTAAAATATTTGAATCGGGGTTAATGTATTCACTTGTTGCATCCTTTTTGATTGACCGGAGATGCTAAGCAAAGCAAATAGGAAAAGCATGTGCTGCTGCTTTTGCTTTTCCTCCGCACACTAGTAAAGCAAAGCATCCTATTTTGATTTCTTCATTCACGATGCATAAAATTCTAGTATTCTTAGTTATGGGTTATTTGATTATGTTCATATAGCTAATCTGCTGTTGTTGTGCATAAAATTCTAGGAAGGTCTGGCTGCAAGTTGTGCCTGTAGTGTGCTCTCATGTTGTACATGCCCCTATGCTTAGTAAGATTAAATTGCTACTATTAATGATGAATGTTTGAGTTTTGAAATTTGAAGCATCACCTACTTTCTGGTCATGTAGTGTTTAAAACTGATAATTATGATGCATTGGTCCATATGGCCTTGTTTTTTAATGCCATACACATTCTAGTGCCAGATCCAGGACCCGATCTTAGCATTCAAGCATACCTGACAATGGTCCGATCCTAGCTATAAAATGTAGGGGACAATAATTTGCAGCATTAATTAGGTCCCGCTATAGTCTTTTTTAAACTTCTATGAGATTGAAGAATTCGTTCTAACTTCTAGTTTGCTGGTTTGCTGATTGTTGTAGACAAATGTATGAAACTTCTTAACTATGAACGACAACTACTTCCTTGAGAAGGACCAGCATCACCCATCAAGTACGCCATTGAGGTGATTCACCACTCCCTCCAGCACCAACTATGTATTTTCTCTAGTTGCTCTCCCAAGTTTTGTGCACACTTTGCGTCAAGTTCTCCCTAAATGCAAGGGATTGTATATGTAAAACCAATTATCCAATACATTTTTCCACAAAGAGATCAGTCTTCTTATTTAGCTCTGATGTATGAATGAGTATATCGTTTATCTATCTGGGAACAAAAATCATTGTATTAGTTGAATTAGTGTTATCATTCTAAAGAACTTGTCCTTTTTTTGAATAGTCCGTTCGTAATATATTGGCTCCAGTGTTTTGATTCTTCTCTTCTGATTCATGTAACAGGGCGACGACCAAAGGCATGATGATAGTTCTATTGTTGTTCTAGTGTAGCGAAGGTGGCCTAGTCGACTATGGTCGCCTAGTGAGTCATGCATACGGTTTCATCTGACTGGAGCAGGAGCCCAGTTTGTGCTGATTGTCAATTCTCATTGTGACTATCCCTATATTTGTGTGACTGTGATTGTATTTGTATCTATGTTTATCACTAGTAGAGCTTGTAACTGTGTCAAGACAGAAGGAGCCCAGTATATCTGTGTGACTGTGATTGATTCTCGTTGTTGTTATTTGAAATATTACTTGTGTTTTCTGTCTGTTCTTATTTAAATATGGTTATTTATTTCTGTCAAATCTGAATAATATGATGATGTCAAAAGGGTCCCACTTTAATAGAACCTGGCAACTAGGACCTGTCTAACTAGTGGACCCTTCTTTTGGGAAAAAAGGAAAAGTAAATTCGTTTAGACAAAAAGGCCACAACCCAACAATAAAAAAGGTTGCAATGTTGGGCTTGGCCCATGAAGCCGATCAAAAATTGATAGAAAAAAATATAAAAGGCCGAATTGTTGGGCTAGGCCCATGTAGAACACCGAATTGCACTAGGCTGAATCTTATCCATGTTAGCTTGCCATGCTGGATCTTACGTGGCCTGGGGAGGCTGCCAGTGACCAAAAATTTGGTCATAGAACCAACGACCTTTTACATATCACAAAGAAGGTCGTTAATTTTAGTTTACGACCACCAGATTTTGACTATATGTTTTTGGTAAAAAAAGGTCGCAAATTGAAAACAATGACCATTCAGTGACCAATAGTGATGGTCGCAAGTTGATGTATTTCTTGTAGTGGGTTTCGTTCATGTCTATGAGTTACCGAACCTACGGAGTCAGAAGCTTAAGGCAATCACGATCTGCTAAGTGTTAGTAGGACATGAGTGATGAGAACATATTTGTGAAATTGTTTCATTAATATTTGGAATTGTTTCGAGAGGATCTAGAAGCGTTTCGGGGTCACCGAAAGGGTTTTGGAGAGTATGGGGTAATACCGATAAATAATATATAGGTGGAAAATGTTTCTGGGGATGTTAAATTATATATATATATATATATATATATATATATATATATAAGGGTCTAATAATAATAAGAAAGCCTTTATATTAATTTAAATATTAACGGGCCTTAAAAGGCCTAGTGGTGGAAGGCAACTTGGGCCACCAAGGCCCAAGTGGAGGTGGTGCCTGATGATTCTACACTTTTTAGAGCTTATTTGTTGCATGTTCTCTTCATATACTATGTCCCATTGAACTGAATACTTGCCATTATGCATGATTACCGGTATTTGCACATATCATTGTGAGCATCACACATTTAGTGTTTTATTTGATTCTTATTAGTTTTCCTTGTTTTCTTGTGTCTACAGGTGTTTTGGAGCAACCTAGGACCAAGCATGATGAAAGGATCAAGGATGGGATTGATACGGAGTCAGCTAGGGTCGGAGTTAGCCATTTCGAAGGGCGGAAAAAGTCATTTTTCCAAAGTGCTCCAAATCAAGTTCTAAGACCAGAAATGGATTGATGTCTACTACGGAACCTTCTCCTTGTAGACGTTGTTAGGCCTCCAAGTGCAGAGGTTTGTAGGACAGTAGCAAATTTCCCTCAAGTGGATGACCTAAGGTTTATCAATCCATGGGAGGCGTAGGATGAAGATGGTCTCTCTCAAGCAACCCTGCAACCAAATAACAAAGAGTCTCTTGTGTCCCAACACACCCAATACAATGGCAAATTGTATAGGTGCACTAGTTCGGCGAAGAGATGGTGATACAAGTGCAATATGGATGGTAGATATAGGTTTTTGTAATCTGAAAATATAAAAGCAGAAGGTAACTAATGATAAAAGTGAGCATAAACGATATTGCAATGCTAGGAAACAAGGCCTAGGGTTCGTACTTTCACTAGTGCAGGTTCTCTCAACAATAATAACATAATTGGATCGTATAACTATCCCTCAACATGCAATAAAGAGTCACTCCAAAGTCACTAATAGCGGAGAACAAATGAAGAGATTATTGTAGGGTACGAAACCACCTCAAAGTTATCCTTTCTGATCGATCTATTCAAGAGCCCATAGTAAAATAACATGAAGCTATTCTTTCCATTCGATCTATCATAGAGTTCGTACTAGAATAACACCTTAAGATACAAATCAACCAAAACCCCAATGTCACCTAGATACTTCAATGTCACCTCAAGTATCCGTTGGCATGATTATACGATATGCATCACACAATCTCAGATTTATCTATTCAAACCAACACAACGTACTTCAAAGAGTGCCCCAAAGTTTGTACCGGAGAGTCAAGACGAAAATGTGTGCAACCCCTATGTATAAGTTCACAAGGTCACTGAACCCGCAAGTTCATCACCAAAACATACATCAAGTAGATCACGTGATATCCCATTGTCACCATAGATAAGCACATGCAAGACATACATCAAGTGTTCTCAAATCCTTAAAGACTCAATCCGATAAGATAACTTCAAATGGAAAACTCAATTCATCACAAGAGAGTAGAGGGGGAGAAACATCATAAGATCCAACTACAATAGCAAAGCTCGTGATACATCAAGATCGTATCACCTCAAGAACACAAGAGAGAGAGATCAAACACATAGCTACTGGTACATACCCTCAGCCCCGAGGGTGAACTACTCCCTCCTCATCATGAAGAGCGCCGGGATGATGAAGATGGCCACCGGTGATGGATTCCCCCTTCGGTAGGGTGCCGGAACTGGCTCCTGAGAGGTTTTTGGTGGCTACAGAGGCTTGCGGCGGTGGAACTCCCGATCTATTGTGCTCCACGATGTTTTTAGGGTATTTGGATATATATAGGCGAAAGAAGTCGGTCAGGGGGGCCAGAAGGGGCCCACGAGGGTGGGGGGCGCGCCCAGGGGGGTAGGGCGCGCCTCCCTGCCTTGTGGCCACCTCGAAGCTGCCCTGACGTCTACTCCAAGTCTCCTGGATTGCTTCCGTTCCAAAAATAACTCTCCTGAAGGTTTCATTCCGTTTGGACTCCGTTTGATATTCCTTTTCTTTGAAACGCTGAAATAGGCAAGAAAACAACAATTTGGGCTGGGCCTCCGGTTAATAGGTTAGTCCCAAAAATAATATAAAAGTGTATAATAAAGCCCATAAACTTCCAAAATAGATAATATAATAGCATGAATACTTCATAAATTAT